AAGGACAATTCCAGGAAAAAGGAAAGGACAAATGAGGTCATTTAATGTCCAGCTGATCCTTGGGTGTCCTTGGATTTAATCCCAACACCAAGGCTGGTCTGTAAATCCCAGCAGAGCATTTCTGGAGCTGGATTTGGGATCCATTCTGCCAATTGGGCGCGAACCCTGAGCTGTGCTTTTGCTCCAGAGCTGTTTTGCCTTTTCGCTGCTCTGAGTTCACCCAATTCCCCTCTGCCGAGCAGCTTCTGCCAAGGAATGTCAAATCCACATTGCAGCTGCTTCCAACTGCTCTGCCCTGGAGCCCAGCTCGGAACATCGTTGCCTCTGAGAGGTTTTATCCAGCTCAGAGAGCTGGGAAAAGCCAGAATTCCAGACACTGCCCAGACCCCAGCAGAGCACTCAGCAGGACCCCAGAAAATCAACAAAAATCACTTAAAATTTCTATTTTATTGTTTGAAATCCTTCTCGAGTGTGGCATAAACACGAGGAGTGTTTTTTCCTTGCTCTCTGTGCCCTTTTCCCATAAATCCACCAGGATTCCCGACTGTTGGAGAGCCACCTCCCACCTSTGGGTTCTTGAACTCTGCCCCAGGTATGATGGGTACAATGAGACCCAGGTGACCCAAGAAATCACATTCCCATCCCAGAGCTCTGGATTGGTTTGGCAGCTGCCAGCTGAGATTGGCTCTGAACCATAAACCCTCCCCTCCCTGCTGAATTTGCATCAAGATAAAAGGGAAAACAAAATGCTGATTGAAGTGATTTAAATAAGTTGAGGGTTGTTTTGGAGGGACAGTTTGGAAAAAAGAATTGAAGTGTGGAAAAGGATTCCCAGGAGAAAATCCCTGCTCCAAAACCTCCAAAACTTCCTACAGACAAAGAATCRGCCAGTAACGATGTCTATCAGCTCTGAGGTAAGAAGGACCAAGATGAGGAGATTTATCAAAGACTGTTTTAGGCCTGGGCAGCAAATTAATTTGGGATTAATCAGTAAGGGAAGTTCATCTGAAGGATTTCTTTCTCAGCAAAGTTTGTTTGATGTCCCTGAGCTTGAAATGGCCAAGGAGGACCTGGAAACACCAACGAAGACCTGGAAACGCCAAGGAGGACCTGGAAACACCAAGGAGGATCTGGAAGAATCAAGGAGGACCTGGAAACACCAAGGAATATGTGTAAAAAAGGAACCCAACTGATAAATGAAGTTTCTTAACTTTTTGAAACATCAGAACCTGAAATTAAGAGACCTTTCAGCCGCTGAGTTTGTCAAGACAACAAACAGGAATTAAAGAATTGGAGCTCTTCCCTCTCCATGTATTTTTGTGGTCTAAAAACTGGAAAATTCTCCCTGGTGCTGTGGATGTTCCATGACCTCCGGCTGACTGCCCATAAACAGATAAACAAAGCCAATCCCTGGCTGAGAAGTTGGATTTTGGGAGATCCTCGTGAGCTCCTTTGGCTCCCAAACAAGCCAAGGAGCAGAGCTGAGGAACGATGAGGGATGGGACAAGACGTGAGCTCATCTGAACCAGGACCAAGGAGTATGGAGGAGCAGGAAAACGTTTGGCTGCACTCACCCAGGAGAAGCAGGAATGACAAAGCTGCTGCCAAAACTCATCCTAAAGAAATGAAAGGAAGATTTAACAGCTGTGTCCATCCAGAAAAAGGGGGGATCATGGAGCAAGGAATCAAGAGGAAAACTCTTCTGCTATGGAGGCACAAGGAGAACCTGCCAGGGGTGATTCCCTGCCCAAGYCCAACGTCTCTGTGGCGCTGGAGGACACCAATCCAAAAGATTCCAGAGAGATTCCATGGGAACCAGGATACTGCAGAGCACAGCCTGAGCAAGTGAGAGAGTCCATAGGCCTCTGGAGCGTTGCCAGATATTTTCGAGGATGAGAGCAAAATGGGTACAAGTCTGACACAAAGGAGGGAAAACCAGGAATAAAACAGGGAACAGCTCCTTTGGAGCTTTGCCTGCTCCATGTAGTGAATGTGGGAAAGTCTCTGTGTTTCCCAGGCTGGACAGGGCTTGGAGCAGCCTGGGATGGTGGAAGGTGTCCCTGCCCATGGAATGGATGGGCTTTAAGGTCCTTTCCACCCCAGCTCATTCTGGGATGATCCCATGAGAATGATCCCATGAGAACGATCCCAAGGAAATGATCCCATGAGAATGATCCTGTGACAATGATCCCATGAGAACAATCCCATGGGAATGATCCCATGAGAATGATCCCGTGACAATGACCCTGTGACAATGACCCCGTGAGAACGATCCCATGCTGTGTTTGCTGCCCCCCAACCCCAATCTGCTCCCTTCGCTCCATGATCCCATGTTGGATCTGGACTGGGATGGGCACAAGCCCTACCATTCCTGTAGGATTTGCAGAGGGCAGTGGAGGAATCCCAGACAAACGGATCCTCCCCTCCCAGGTTTTCAATTCCAATTCCATTTCCAGCCTTCAGGGCTGGGTTCCCACAGGAAAATCAGACAGGAGAGGATTTGYCATCCCAGGTGGACTCAGACCTTTGGATGGGGATAAATTCTCCTTGGGAAATGTCCTCTGGTGATGGGGGAAGGGAAGAGGAGCCTACTGGGAATCCAAAGGCTCTGACTAACCTGTGACAGGACCATTCAGTTTGCCTTTCCAGGGCAAATCACATCCAGAATCTGGGGTTTCTTAACCCTTTCCAGCCATCCCAGCTCTGATGTTTCCTCAGGAAAATCAGGGAGGGATGACCCTGTATCTCTGGATAACAGCTCCTGATCCATGCACTCAATCCAGAGTTTGGGATCGGCCCAGGAATGATGGGAATGGGCTTTGACAAACAAATCCTGCTGTGCCTCAGTGGCAGTTTTCCCTCTGTTTTGGTGTCAGCATTTTCCCAAGTTTTGCACAGATGTTGTGCTCACGCACAAAAACATCCAGAAAAAAAAAATCCATTCTATATCATTTGCAATGAAAATAATTGAAAAAAATTCTTCCCGTTGCACAACCTCATRCCTGTAATTTTTATCTACATTTACCAACCGTGTTTATTTATTTTAATTCTCAATAATCCAGTGCTGAATGCATTTCAGTCAGGGCTGCATTTTATGAGGGGGGTTGTGTTTGTTCATAAATAAATTTATGGCTTTTGCCGATTCCTTGAATTTCTGAGGGATTGTTGAACGTTCTCAATCCTGAGTTGAGCAATAAACACGAGCAAATCATGAGTCACTGGCTGGGGCTGTTTTGGTRTTTTTGCTTTGTTCCAGCAGTGAAATGATAACTCAAAAATGTCTTTGAGCAAGAAAATCGGGAGGGGCAGAGGAAGAGAGCAGGAAAATGGATGAATCTTTGGAAATTTGATATTTTGATAACTGGTATTGGGTGGGAAATTGTTGCGGTCAGATTCGACTTCTTTTAATGGTGCAAAACAAGAAAAGAACAAATAAATACTGAATTTCAAAGAGTTCTACAGAGGAGGAGAGGGAACAGCTCTAAGTTGTACCAGAGAAGGGTCAGGCTGGACATCAGCAGGAATTTCCCYATGGAAAGGGTGCTCAGGAGTTAGAACTGCCCAGGGAGGGTTGRAGTCCCCATCCCTGGAGGTGTCTGAGGAATTCCTGCACATGGCACTCAGGGCTTTGGGGGGAATCGGGCACAGGATGGGCTTGATGATCTTGGAGGGCTTTTCCAACCTCAGAGATTCTGGGATTCTGGGATTCTGTGATTTGCAGCTGCTGGGGAGCAGCTCCAGCTCCTGACAGAACCTCTCAGCCATTCAGTGTGAATCCAAACCTCAGAGATGTCAAARGGAGGAGATTTTTCCCTGGATTCCACTGGACTTTGGTCAGGCCCTAATCTGATAAAGATTTGGGACACAGAGTCAGGATCCCACCCACTCTTCCTGACTCCYTCCAGAGTTTGGGGAAGTTATTCCTTCATGACTCCTCAGAAGAGCAGTTGGGTGCTGTTGATGGAGCCTTGCTCCTCATTAGGGTTTGGATTATTTACCCAGAGAAACCGTGGATACCCCTGGATCCCTGGCAGTGTCCAAGGCCAGGCTGGACACTGGGGCTTGGAGCACCCTGGGGCAGTGGAAGGTGTCCCTGCCCATGGCAGGRGTGGCACTGGATGAGCTTTAAGGTCCCTCCAACCCAAACCGTCCCAGGATTCCATGATCCTGTGGAACAGGACATTCAGGGGGCAGAATGAGGAACAATTCTAAGGTTTAAAGAAGGACTGAAGAGGCTTTGCAGGAGCACCCATGGAAAGGAAGGGCTGGGTTCTCCACCCTGGGAACTGATTTCAGCCACAAACACTTGCTGTGATCTGCCAGTGCTGTGCCCTCGGTGGTTCCTGCTCCGCTGCCGCACGTGGAAGTACAAGAATGTTACATATTCCCATTACCTCCTTCCCCACCCTAAAACTGCACTGCTTCCTATCCCTGGGACTCTGGGAAACGAGAGGAGAATTTCTGCCTRCATCCATTGCTGTTAACCCTCCCCATCCCAGTGGGGCTTTTGGCGAAGGAGTGAGAATTCCCAATGGAAGAAGACCATGGGATTGGCTGTACCAACAAGACCTTTGGCCAGCGGGTCAGGGGCCCTTGCCTGGCCCTGTGTGTGTCACCACACAGGCTCACAGGCAGGGACAAACCCAACCCTGCCACCGGCACCCAGGCTGGCTCGTCCTCTGCCAGGACAGTGGCACCGGAGCCTCCTGCACGACTCCCGCTTTCCCAGGGATGTTCCCGCCCTCCCTGGCCGCCCATGTTCTCCAAGGGATCCAAGGACCACGTGGGGCTTGGAGCCCTCCCTGGTGGGATCTCTGGTGTCCAGCAGTGTCCAGCAGGTCTGGAGAGCCCCGGCTCTGTTATCACCAGGAAAACGTGGATGGCGGAGTCCAGGGCTGGGGTTGCCCGCTGGCCACATCGRCCACTCGCTTTTTTTTCCCCGAATAACTTAAACCTCTCATTCCACAGAACAGAGACTCTGCATGGAAACCCTCGGAATCCGTGCGTGGCCCGGTGGTCTCTTCCCACTAAATGCTCTCCAGGAACCTTTCCCATCCTCCGGCTGGATTTTTTCTCCCCTCCTCTGGTCACATCACCGTCTCCCTCTCCTCCTCCACGAGGACTGTGGGCCTGTCCCCGTCGTAGAGCCCGGAGCCGTTCAGGTATTCCTCGTCCTTGTTGTACTGCTCCGGGCCGGAGGAAGGCATGGAGTTCTCCGAAATGGAGCCATTTTTCACATAACCCGGCAAATTGCGGTGGCCGTTGAGGGTCCCTGGGATAAGTCTCGTGTTGAGGTGCAGGGCCAGTGCCCCTCTCGTGGCTACATTTGTGATGCTGGTGTGGGACACCATTGGTCCATAACTGTAGGTTGTGCTCCCACTCCGCGCTTTCCTTTTAAAGTCAAGGGCTAAAGTCCACCTGCTCCATGACTTCTTTATTTCTGCTTGGACCTGAGGGAAAAAATGGGAGAAAAACCCTCCATGAGTGGGAGAAGGAAAATGCCAGAAAAAATGTGGCGTCCACAGAGGGAATGGGTGGGAAACTCTGTGGGGACTGGGACTTTCATGGTCTTTGTGGATCCCTTCCAACTCAGGGCATTCCGTGATTCCATGCAATTGGAAAAAGCAGTAAATTACCATAAATCTGCCCTTTCCAAATGAAATATTGGACATTGGGAAGCCTGAATGGCCAAAAACATCTGGCTGGAAAGGTGGGATAACTCTGCCCAAGGGGTGAAGGGTGGAGAGCAGCACGTCCAGGAGAGAGTTCAGGCAATGTCCYGTGGAAATCAAGCCCAAGTAGGATCAACCCCCTGAATCCTGAGAAATTTCCCTAAAAAGAAGGCAGCTGACTGCTTTAGACTGAGTCTTTTGCTTTAGACTGGATCTAAAGGAGGTGGCTAAAGTTRGGATGAGATCAGTTCCCCTTAGATTTTTGTCCTGGTTTTATCTCCAGAACATAAACAGTGGTTTTGTAGTTGTTTTTCCCCTTAAAATCCACAAACTGAGGTGAAAAATTCCCCTTAAAATCCATACAGGGAGGTGAAAAATTCCCCTAAAAATTCACACATTTAGGTGAAAATTACTTCTTTTCCTGCCACAATTAAGCAGTACTAAACAGCTCTTGTGTTGAGAAATTAAAAAAGTCCCCATTTTTTCTCCATTTGCTCCATCCATAGGGGTCATTTATTGGTGCCACATAGACCCAGTGTATTTTCCATTGGGAAACAATGAGGATTTGAACTTTCTGAGCAGATTGACAGATTTTGGAATGGAAAATAAGGTTGTAGGAAAAGGAGGATGTGCTGCTGTGCAYCCACCTGGGCATGGAATTAACCCGAGAAAGGGGGGAAATGATGAGGATGCTCGTGACTCACCTCTCCATTGCAAAAACAGTATATGATGGCAACGAAAAATCCCTGGAGGGAGGAAGAAACACCAAATTAATGGGAATTTGGGGAAATCTGGGTSTCTWTTCTGCCCAGAACCCCAGTGAGATMAGCGACAYTCAGAGCCTGCTGTGRAAATTGTGTGTGAGAAACCTGGGATTGTTGAGTGGCGCAGGAGAGGGAAACAGAAAATTCCCTGAGGATGGGGCCTGTCCCTGAGCCAGCAAATTGTCCTGGGGACAAGGGGCCAATGGGATCCTGGGATGCACTAGGAAGAACAWTTTTTGTTGAACACCCTGACCCTTTTTATGTTGTGTTTTGCAAATAAAAAAATGATTTGATGCTAAAATGTTATCAAATCCCCTTAGGGATGAAATTGGATGTGTTGTAAACCCAGCCCTGCTCTCAGATGCCTTGCACCCCCATCTCCCTCCTCTCCCCACTGCAATTCCCGTGGTTTCCCAGAGTTCCAGTACCTGGAAAGAGTTGAACAGCATTTCATAGTGCATTTGAACTTGCCAAAGAATCCCTGACACGTCTGTGTATGGCATAGCCATGAAAACAATGTAGTGAACGCCGAACAGAGGCATGAGGACGAGGGTAGATTTCAGCAGCTTTCTGTGGGAAAGAAAGAGAGATACAGCAGGAATTAGAGTGTGGAGAAACCTCCCTGCCATCCCCAGCCCAGCCAGGTTGGGCCTTAGGTGGGAGCTGCTCGCTGTTTTCTCCTTGTCCCCTTGGATATCGGATGTTTGCGTGGGCATGGTGGAATTCCAGCCCGAATTCCAAGCTGCTGCTTCTCCTGTGGGATGTGACACAACCCAGTCTGGGTGTCCCTGTTGAGCCCTCAGCATGTCCCTATGTGATGTGACACTGAGATGCCTTTTCCAGGCTCAAACCGGCTCCAGGTTTGGATCAGGATCACAGGAGGAAAGTGGACAGGAATGAAAGGAATGTGGGCCACAATTCCAGCCCTTGAGTTTCAACTGACACCAAAGCCTCTCATTCCTAAAGGATGGGTGTCCATCCTCCTGTGGCCCTACAGAACCCACATTGGCTGACACTGGAGGCTGGGCTGGGTGATGTCCAGAGGGAACCTTCCAACCTCAGCCACCCAGGGATTTGCGTGGGGAAATCCACCCTGGATCAGTGGCTGCTGTGCTATGAGCAGGGCTGGAGGAGAGGGAGCAGAATCAGGAGTGGAATTATTCTGGATATCCTGGGGAAGGGCACAGGGCAGAGCTGAGCACTCCCAGGAGTTTCTTTGGGCTGCAGCATCACTTGGAAAAGCTCTGTTTTTTGGGAAGCAGCTCCACCTCAGCACGGGATCTGTGCTGGGGACTCCAAGGAGGCACCGAAACCTGAAGCACTCGGTTGGGCTGGCTCCGGGGGGAATCTGCTGGGAATTGACATTGATTGAAGGATTAAAGCTTCTGCTGAGAGTTCCAGGGGTTGGAAAGGGCAGGAATCACTCCCAGAAAACCCCAGCACTGCCTCTGTCCAGCGCCTGGAAACCACCAAGGGAATTGAACACTCTGAAAGGGGCAGGCCCCATCCAAACCATAATTAATGGCAAAGCTTCTGCCTGGGAGAAGGAAATAAATGGATCAATCAGAGCCCTGACGGGGCAGCAAGGACAAGTGGGAGGAGTGTTCCTGCCAAATGCCTCTCTCCTGCCTCAAACGTGTGTTTGGAGAGGGAGGTGGGAGCGGTGAGCTCAGGGTTTGCATCCCAAATCATTCCTCTCTGCCTGAGAAACTTTGGGAGCTCCTGAGCACCCGTGGTGTCCTGACAATCTCAGTTTTCCAGCCGGTTTTTGACCATGCTCCAAATAACTGGAATTATCAGGGAGATGAGCTGGCAGAACAAAGGAAAACCAACCAAAYAACAAAWTTGGAATTTTTTTTCCCRTWTTTTTTTCCCAATGTTCAGCCAAGGCAYGGAAACACCTACTCCAGGGTGGGTTTATAAACACAGGCTTTGCAAAGCACAGGAGGCAAAGAACGCAAAGCAAATAAATTGATACAAACTTTATGGCCTCCAGCACCATGAGCAAAATTTTATTTTTGCAATTTTSGTTCAAGAACTGGCTGAGGAGCTGGAATTCCTCCCCTAAACTCAGAAAAGTTTATGAGAGGTTGAAATGGCTCTGATCCATTCTTTGTGGTTTTAGGTGGCTTCAGTGTCACCCTGGGGTTTCTCTGTAGCCAAAAGGGTGAACCAGGACTTTGTCCCWTCCCCAAAAGGGGACGGGGCAGGGGACACTCACCTGTACTGTTGCCTCGAGTCGCACCTCCCCGCATTCGTCTCTCGGAGCTTGGTTGCCAGGACTCGGATAATGTTGATGAAAAGAATAAAATTTACCTGCAAGGAACAGAAAACACATGACAAAGGAAGTAGAAGGGTTAAAAATTATGAAGATGGGGGATGTGTTTGATTTCTGTTTCCCCCAGGTGAGGCAGGGGCTGGGATTCTGGACGAAGCTCCTCCTGGGAGTGCTCATCCTRTGGAAGGGATGGGGAATTATCCCAGGATTTTTAACCTTCAGGGGGAGAAGGGAACGGCTCACAGGGTGTGGACATCTCACRCAGAAACACCAGAGCCAGCCAGCCCAGCAGGCACCTGGAGAGGGCCAAAATGAGATTTGACTTGTCTGTCGTGGCCCAGCAGGGATTAAAATCCCCTCAGGAGCATTCCAGGATGTCTTCCCACATTCCCACATGCAAAAGGAAGGAATTTTGAGCAAATGGCATGGTGACGGAGACACAGAGCTGGCCTGACTGGAGAGGACAGCCCAAAAATGCAGAAGGGCAAAAAAACTGCTGGATTTCTCCTGTATTTCTACTGCAAAACTCCCTCTGGAAAGTGTTTGGGATGGARCTCTGACAAGGATGGATAAGGACAATCAGGGAATAATACTGAATTCCTTTTAGGGAATCTACAAACCCAACTCATGGCCARCTGCTCAACCAGGATGATCCCAGTGGTGCCGCCTTGGAACAGGCTGCCAGGGAAGTGGTGGAATCCCCATCCCTGTAAGCGATCAAAAGCCATGTGTGGCACTTGSGGACATGGTTCAGTGGTGAYCATGGTGGTGCTGGACTGGGGATCTGGGAGAGCTTTTCCAACCTTCATGACTCCAGATTCCAATCTCATCCCACAGGAATACCCTCACACAGGAAAATGCAATGGCAACACCTCAAGGAGAGGAAAGATGATCTGACATTGGACAGATTCCCATCTTTTTAGGGCTCTTCAGAGCTTGGTGTCCCTGGAACTGGAATTCCACTGTCTGCTGGCCCAGCCATGCCCATCCATGGGATTATGGCAAGGGAAGAACCATCCTGTAACKGCACGGAGCAGATCCATGCTGCTGGAAAATACCCATGGATTCCTCKGGAGCCTGCAGTATTTCAAGGAACCAAGGCACGCCACACACAGGCTTGGAATTTCAGGGAGGGTCCACTGTGAGCCTGAAGCTGGACAGCCCTGGAGACCTCCTTGGATTCATTTGTATTGAGCCAGAGCAGATGCAGTTTCCAGTGTTTCCGTGACAGAAATCCTACCACAATCATTGGAGATTCATTACAATGGTTAATTATCCTCCCTGGTAAAACCAGGAGTTCCCTGAGGGGCTGAACCCACAGGGCCTGGTTTGCCATGGCTTTGTCTCCTGTGGTTGGATTCCTTCTCCTTTAACGAGGTGCGAGTTCATTTGGAACAGTTCTTTTCCATAAAAAAGCAGGGAAGGTGGTGCCACACCCTCTCCCTCACTGGGATAGGAGTGAAATTCCTCTCCTGTATCCACTTCCCTGTTTTCATGAGGTTTGGGGGAATTTACCTTCCCTGCAACCCCATTCCCTGAGATCCATTTAGTTGAAATTTCCTGACTGGCACAGTAATTACAAGGAAGGGTTGGATAAACTGAGGGGCATGGAAAAGCAGAGCCWGGAGGCATCTAATTCCTGGGAAACCAACCCTTAAGGGAAAACCCAGGCAGGATTTACACCTTTTATATGAGTTTTTCCAGCTTTGAAGGCTCCAAAGTGGGATCTTATTCTTCCTTTGTCACTTCAATTAAAGATACCCAACCTTATCCCACCCAGGAGAAAAACTGCTCTGATTTCCCAAATGCACTAAATGTTAAAAGAAATGCAAACAAATCACGTCCAAATTAGCAGAAAGTGGAGGGATTTTAAACCCCTCAGCCTCCAAATCTTCATCCAGAAAATGCAGAGCTCATTCCAGAGATGTAGGAGCGGTGTGGGAATTGCAGGAGCAGCCAAGCGACCAATAGGAACCCGCAGAAAGGAACCAGACACAACCCACAGAATATTTTTGCATAATAAACAGCTTCAGTCGCCAATTCCCGGGGCACAGACTCCCGGAGAAACCGTATTTTTCCAAGGATGAGCCTCAATTGGGCTCTTTCTCCTCAGCTAATTGGCCTTTAAATGAAATGCGATGGGGTTGCTGGAATCCATTTAATGGAACCATCTGGAATTCTCCAGCCGCTGCCATTCCCTTTTCAGCCGTGCGGTCTGGGGGATGCATTTCTTCCAAGGATTTGCTGCAGCCAGGTGGAGAATTTCCACCCAAAGGTGGAGAATTTCCACCCAGCCCCTCCAAACCCCCAAAATCTCACCTAACAGCACAGATGAGCACATCAACAAAGAGCTGGGAAGTTTGTGCTCTTTTTGGGTCTGGTGTTTTTCTACCCACACCAAGGATTTGTGGGGTGGAGGAGGAACCTGATCCCAAACCCACAGGGCTGTGGAGATTCCTAGACTCCACACATGGATGAATGGGAAGGGGAATGGGATTTGTGCAGGGAGATGAGCTCTTTCACATGGACCCGCCAGGAGATGGAGAAGCCCAAATGGAGAGAGGCAGAAAAGGGGGCAATTAATCAATTTTGTGTCCTAATTAGCAGGTTGAGCTAATAAGAATATATTTGAATTCACCTTGTGCAGATAATTAAATCCTATAACGACCTCCTCAGCTTTGGAGAGCTCATCCTACATCTGGATAAGGTCACTTGGATCCTTTTYCCCACTTTGGCTCCTTTTAAATCTCCATCCATGATTAGAAATCCAATCAAAGTTGGGATGGTCAAACTTTCCTTCCCACCTCTGAGGCTTTCTGAGCTTTTGTCAGTTCAAAAGGAATGGGATGATCCTGAAACATGCCTGGGAAAAGCTTTGGTCCAGCACAGACCTCAAATTCCATCTCTTCCCACTGGGAATGCCTGGGAGCTTCCAGGATCACCTGGGTTGGAAATACTGCCTTGAATGCTGGTTTCATTCAGGATGTTAGGGTCTTGTCCCTAAAAATGTGGGAGTTTTGTCTCCTTGAAGCTGCTCACAAACCCCCTCTGCCATATTCAGTTATCAGAATTCCAGGCAGGACAAATACAGCCCCCTCAAAGTGGATCTTAGGGATTCTTAGGAGGCAGGGTTTGTGTTAGCAGAGAGACTGGAGTAGGAAATCCTGGATCAGCTCTTTCCAAGGCGTCCCACCCCTCATTCACCCCACACTCACCACGATAGCTGCCAGGATGGGCACCTGAATTATCCACTTCAGATTGCCAGCGCTCAAATCCCAGCACCTGAGGAGAGATCAACATCCCGTCAGGAAACACCGGAACAGCAACAGGCTCAGGAGCCTGCTTGGAAAACTGCCCCTGGAAGGACGGGATCCCCCAAAGTCTGCTGGAAGGACCTCAGTCCAACCCTGCCTTCAYTCAGTGAGGCTCTGGAATATCCCTTTGCCTGCTGTTAGACCACTAAAAATGAAGGTATTGCTGTGGTTGGGATTGTTCTGCTCTCCAGAGGATGAAGCTCTTTCCAGCTCTCTCCACACTCATCCAGACATTCCCCTTCCAGGACCCTTTTCCACTTCTCCTTCATTTCCTTACTGGAAAAACACCCCCTGCATTAAAAGTAATCCGTGACATTACTCCAGGAGAGGCTAAAATGACTTGGAATTGCAGAATCCTGGAGTGGGTTGGGTTGGAAGGGACCCTAAAGGTGATTTAATCCCAAATCCCTGCCATGGGAGAGAGATTGCTCCAAGCCCCAGGGTCCAAYCTGGCCTTGGACTCTTCCACRGATCCAGGGGCAGCCACAGCTGCTCTGGGTGACCTGTTCTAGGGGCTCCCCACCATCCAGCCAGGAGTTCCATCCCAATATCCCATCCATCCCTGCCCTCTGGCAGTGGGAAGCTGTTCCCTATATCCTGTCCCTCCAGTTCCTGATGAAGAGTCCCTCTCCTGCTTCCTCCTGATCCCGGGTATGTCCCTGCTCATGGCAGGGGGCTGGATTCGAAGATCCTTAAAGTTCCTTCCAACCCAACCCAACCCATTCTGGGATTGTGAAATCCACACATTCTGCACAGAGGAGTTACACCTTCCCCACCCACCACCCCTGACTGAGCTGAACTTGTTGTATCCCAAAYTCATTCCCATTCACTCAGGATTTTAAGGATCCCAGCCTTGTCCCTGCCTGGCTCTGAGGGAGTCCCTTTATCCTCAGGGACAACAACTGCAGGTATTCCCATTGATGGAATTTYGTAAAACAAAAGAGAAATTTATCCTTCCCTGCCATCCACCACCCTCCYCTGAAGGTGGCTTCCACCACGGTAGAATTCCAGCTTTGCCTGGTTCCTCCTCCCTTTGAATTCTCCCAGTCCCACAAGAGCTCCTCACGTCAAAGGCAGAGAAGAAAACCCAGCGGGACTTACTCGGTGTCGGCCAGCGCGGCTCTGACGCTGGCCCAGGCTGTGACAAACACAGCAGGGAGCCCTGCAAGAGAACACAGGGGACACGGGGTCAGTGGGGCACCGAGGGCACTGTCACCAAAATTCCAGGTGGAACGRGCTGGGGGAAGAGAGAAGGAGCAGTTTTTTATTATTCTGGCATAATTAARGCTTGCATAGGCTGAGCTCTCACATCTGAGAACTGAAGGATTCAGCATTGGGCCCTTCAGGATGAGGACACTGAGGGGCTGCAGTGTGTCCAGGGATGGGAAAAGAGCTGGGAAGGGGCTGGAGAATTCCTGAGGGAGCTGGGAATGTTCATCCTGGAACAAAGGAGGCTCTGGGGACCTTGTGGCTCTGCACAACTCCCTGACAGGAGGGGCAGCCGGGGGGGTCGGGCTCTGCTCCCAGGGAACAGGGACAGGAGAAGACGGAATGGCCCTATGTTGTGTCAGGGCAGGTTCAGGATGGATATTGGGAATGTTCCTCCTRGAAAGGGCTGTCCAGCCCTGGCACAGCTGCCCAGGGCAGGGGTGGTTTCCCATCCCTGGAGGGATGTAACACCCATGTGGATGTGACACTTGGGGACATGGGACAGTGGTGGCCTTGATCCTCAAGATCCCTTCCAACCTACATCATTCCATGATTCTAGCGGGTTTGTGGAGCACACCTTTCACAAGCTATTTCCTCCCTTCCTTCACACAAAGAAGGAAAAATGGATCAGGAGTCAGTCAGGCTGTTTCTCCCAGAAAATTCTGGGATGGATTGGAAGCTCTGTTTAGTGCAAGAGAGATGCTGCACGAAGCAGAAAAATGCTAAAATTTAGGATAAGCCTTCCAGAATTCTGCATTCCCAAGTGACCCATTCTGATTTCATCACAGCTACCCTGGGCCATCCTCTTTTCCCTGTGAAACCTGAAAAAAAAAAATTCCCCAATATCCAAAKGCGACCTTCTATTTATTTTTTTAGGGTCCATTTATTTGTACAACCGAGTCCCCTACCAGCTTCCCTGAAAAGGCAGGATCCAACCCACAGAGGCTTCCACAAACTCGGGAAGAATGACCCCTTTCAGGTGGGAAAAAAAATCATTAATAAATAAATAGAGGCGACGTTTATCAGTGGGGACTGCGAGGAGGCTGTTCCCGATCCAAGCTTGCTGGGGCTCGGAGAGAAGCTTGGGATTCACTTTCAGCCCRCACTTCAGCCTCATTAGGGTGCTTAAAGGTTTTCCTGCCCCCAGGGCGTGGAACAGGGACAGTCCGGTCCCAAATCCGGGGACAACGGGGCTCTTATCCTGGCCGGGAGCTGGGAATGCTGAGGTAACGTAAGGAAGTGTAAATAATGAGACACAGAGCCTCGCTCAGGGCCAGCTCCTACAAGGGCACGTTTGTAGGGAATTCATCCACTCCACAATTCCCTGTGCTGCTGTCACTGGGCACAAAATCCTTGACCTGGTGCACCGGGGGCTTGGASTGAGGGAAATGTGGGTGCGGGGAAGGTGCTGATTCCTCATGACAGGCATGAGCTCTTTCCTTCTCCCTGGTATCTGCCTATCCATGGAAAGTAGGGCAGGCTCYGGAATATTATCAAAAGCCTCAATGGATTAAACTTTGTGATGCTTTTCCAGTTTGCATCCACTGAGGAAATGCCATGCTGAAAGGCTGTCCATGAAWTATTGGATATTCCAACTGCGGCAGGGCTCTTAATCTGAAGGATAGAATTTTTTTTGAGATTTGGATATGTTTGACAGGAATTTATTCCTCTTTCTCCTGTCCTGCACAGCAGAAGAGACACAATTCCCATTCTTACTAATCCTGTGCTGAGTTTGAGCTTCCAAGCACCAATAAAATATCCAGGAGAAAATGGTTACTCCTGAAACCCAGAAAGCGTTTACTGTGCCCTGTTTTCTGCTGCCTCATTCCCTTCAGGCAAATGTAAGAAAACGATCCCTGGGTTTTTGTCTGAAACACAGGAGGTGAATTCCTCCTTCAGTTTTATTTCTCCATTTCTCTTTCCATGTCTCTTCCCTATTTTTTTTCTCAGTGTGAAAAAATGGAAATGTCCTTCAACTTCCAAAAAGTGGCACAAATCTCCTTCCTCCCTTCCCTCTGCTTCAGATTTTCCTGCTTTGTCGAGGTAATATGGAGAGCTTGGGATGTCAGGGAATTCCTGGAGTTCCATCTTTCCCTTTCCTGCTCCCTCTCCTCCTGTTCCTGTTCCCTGGGAGCAGAGCCTGACCCTCCTGGCTGCCCCCTCCTGTCAGGGAGTTGTGCAGAGCCACAAGGTCTCCCCTGAGCCTCCTTTGCTCCAGGATGAACATTCCCAGCTCCCTCAGGAATTCTCCAGCTCCTTCCCAGCTCCATTCCCATCCCTAGACATCATTAACCCAAAAATCAGTTCTGATGTCCTCAAAGATATCCACAAAGAGCAGGACATCCAAGAGGATGCAGCTCAGAAAAGTCATCCATGGTTAAATCCATCTGGCCAAGCCAGCAGGGAGAGGAAAAGAAGTCTCAAAAAAAATCTGTGGTGTCCTGGAGTCCGGGAATGCAGAGATTCAGGGATGGGTGAGTGGGTGGAGGGAGAGAAGGATGGATGGATGGATGGATGGATGGATGGATGGATGGATGGATGGATGGATGGATGGATGGATGGATGGATGGA